ACATTCCCAGAAGCCTGGGTGTTCAAGTGTGTGTGTGTGTGTGTGGGTGGGTGGGTGGATGGGTGGAGCCAGCAGAGAAAGCCCTGACTACAAGAGGATCGCGTTGACTGCGCATTACTAGGGCAATCAGGGTGTAGGTTGCGGCCGGTCTTGCGGGATTCAATGCTTCAGGAGCCAGCTTCTGACCGTTCGCTGTCGTTCCAGGAGATCAGACTTATGCTGAGTAGCGAGTCCACGTGCTCACGTCATTCAGCGGCTTTTCGCTCATGACCGTTGTGGGGTCCATGATTGTAACAACGACGATTAGGGCGGAAGTGGTGGTGAAGACGATAGTGGGATGATGATGTAGCGGGCTCCTTCCGTCGCCTTCGAAAACCCATCGGAAACGACTGAAATCGTGCCTACACTGAGAGCTGCTAGATCATTCCGAAAGATCATCGAACAAATAATCCCCAATCTCCTGAACAAAGCAAGTTCGATCCCAGAGAAGAGATACAATCCAAATCTGATCTTGTGGTTGTGGAAGTGTGCATTCTCCTAGTTTAAGAGCTTGTTTTTTAAAGTCAGTTTCAGGTTGATCAACTTGTTCCGAACTGTTGGATGATTTATGCCGCTGACCCGGTGGGCCGTGTATCCTTCCGGAGTTTTGGATGCTGTGGCGCATGGGTTCCAGACTTGGCACAGAAGTCACCACCGCAAATCCAGGACATTCTGAAGAGCTTTTGAAGCGGCTCCCTGGCCTTTGCGACATGTTGGCGATAATGTCATGGTGATGTTCTGATGCTTTCAGCAGGCCTTTTGGGATCAAGATGGCCTGCTCCTCGAGGCCGCGCGATTCGGAATCGGTGCCTTGGATGCAGAGTCAACCGTCTCCCTCCATGTCTCACCCTTTGCTGCCCAAGCGTGCATCTGCCGAGGGTCCGAAGTTAAAGCGTAAGTGGGAAATGGGAAAACGGTTTCTGTTTTCACAGGTGCATGCGGCTGCTGTCAAGGAGCCATCCTCCAACATAAAGGGGACTCCAAAGGCCCGTGTCGGGATGGGCTGTCACAGAGGGCCTTTCGCCCTGCTTCGCCTTCCGAAGCCAGCGGGAGGGGTTGGTCGGCCAATTGATGAAATTGGAGCGCAGCCTCAGAACTTGCTGTCCCGTCTGTCGGAGGCGGCGGTGCAGCCACGCGCTGTGGAGGACTCCGACAATGTGCAGGCTGGAGACCCCAGATCCCAGTCCCTGAAAGCCCCGATAAGCGCGATTGTCAGCGAAGAAGCTGGTGAGAAGGACGAATTTGGTCAAGGGCCTTGATGGCAATGCTGAGTGCATGTGAGGAGAATTGCGAAGCACACAGCCGAGTGGAGGCAGAAGCATGCACACGGGTCGTTCCCTACCTCAGTAGCTGCCATCTACGAAGCTTGGATCTTCGATCAAATACCTGGAAGCACAAGCAAGGTTTCATCGAATTCCCTGCTGATGTGATGTCCTGCTGCCGTGATGCCTTCGTGTCCCCACAGCTGACTGGAGTAATTTGACCTTCTTGGTCCATGTTGCAAGGAGCCCCAGAGCAGTGAAGTGGATGCAAAGTGCAGTGCAGCACGTGGCAAACAAAATCAAAATCAACCGAACGAAGAGGCAGAACCCAGCATTCTCCAACGGAGGACGTCCCCAAAAGCGTCCTCAGTCGGGATCTTTGTCTCAGAAATGCCATGGTTTCCAACGACTCCTTGGAGCGGGCCGAGCGGCGGCTTTCGGTGCCTGCGGTGCTCGGCCGCCCCATGGCTGTCTGTGTTTTTCCATCCCGGCTTCGCCTTCGCATTGCGGCTGCTTTTTGCTAGGTTTTCATCGTCTGCCCCGCACTCTCCAGGCTTCGCACTGCTGAACGCACGAAGCAGCTTACCCCATGCCAAGAATTTATCAGAGTGACCTGCAAGGACGACTACAGCGTCAACGACAAGGCTGGTCCGGCTTGGAGTGGCAGTGACGTTTTCCTCTCTGTTGTTGCAGTGGTGACAGGGTTTCGGTTCCCGTTGCAGGTCCTTGGCACCGGCTGCAGTGGTCAGGTGCTGCAGGCAGTGATGGAGTTGTCCGGGTACATCGCCTTTTGGACTGTTCTTTCCCGAGGCGGTAAGCCGCACCACTGAACAGCCCGTGGCGGTGAAGAGCTTAAGCCTCGTGGGCATCACCGAGAAGGTGTGGTCCAAGCTGCGAGACAGAGCGATTTGGTACGCCTTGCTTAATGCAAGGCGCGTCGTGAGCTGGAAAATGAAGTCGCGACTCAGATTCACTAGCTTGGTTGGATAGCGGTATGTTTGTGTGTGTCTGGCATGTTGGCAAGGATCAGCACACGCGCGACAGAATACTGTTACGTGCCGCTTTTTTGTAAGTCCTGCAATGCCTGAGGAGCTATTCCTGAGCATGGATCATCCCCGAGTGGCCCGGCTGCTCGATGTTTACCAGGCAGGACTCCCATTCCGCCTTCGGAGAAGTGTGGGGTGAGGTCGGTGCATTGGCAAGACACTTCTCCTGTCTGGGGAGGCCGAAGGTCGGATGAGCCTGGTGATGGAATGCATGGAAGGCTACCCGCAGGCCGCGGTGTGGGTCACGTTCACTTCACTGCCTCTGCCTGCAGGTGGTGAGCTGTTCAGCCGAGTTATGGACCGCGAGGTCCTGCCATTCGGAGCAACATGCATACAACGGGAGGGAGGAATATCGGAAAAGCCTCCAAGAGGTCTTCCCGGAACGAGACGCAGCGCACACCGCCTGGCAGATGCTCTTGGCGCTGCCTTCTGGCTAAAGCTCTCGGATCAACGACATTTGCTTCTGTCCACATTCGTGTGTGACCAGGAATTACATTCACAGCCATGGGATCGTCCACCGGGATGCTCGGCTGGCAGTTGCAAGCGCAGAAGATCGAGTGGGATTCTGGCCCTTGAGTCCACAACAGTGCAACCCAAGATTCCACTGCTGCCGCGTTGTCCTGGTATTGTCGAGTGGTTTGCACCAGTCCCTGAATACAAAGACTTCATGTCAAGCGTACCAGCGAGGACATCAAGCTGGAGAACTTCATGTATGCCCGGAAGGACGGCTTACGAGGATCCCTTGGCTTTGAAAGGAGATTTGGATCGCCCACAGGACACGGACCATCTGAAGTTAATCGACTTCGGCCTCAGCGCCTTGGGCTTTAATGACGAGAAGCCCAACAACCGATAGACCCATAAACTCCCGGTGCAGCTGGGCTGCAGGCAAAGTTTGGGAGCCCAACACGAAGATGGAGGCATGCCCTGCGTGCATTTTCAGCAGATAGCCGAGGGGAGGGTGGAGGGTGCCTCCTGATGGGCTTTCGCTTCGGCCAAAGGCGAGCTGCGGGACGCTGGGTTACATCGCCCCGGAGGCCGGACGCAATGCCCAGTAGTCTGCCGTGTGGGGGTGCCCGGCACGAAGCTGCGGTCCTCAGGTGCTGAACAAGACCTACAGCTCCAAGTGCGACTTGTGCCTGCCCATGCCAGTTTGGGCACGTTCTAATGGGTGTAATTGACTGTGCACCTACAGCGATCTGAGCTGCCACGACTCTGAGGTGGTCTCTTGGGGTAATTGTGTACATACTCCTTTCCGGCTGCATGCCCTTTGCAGGATCAGCACCTGGTCTTGACTACTACTGCTCTGAGCCTCCGAAGGGCTTCGGGCTCTCTTGCACGCTGGCCGTGTAACTCAGGAGCAACATCAGATCGTGTGCATCATGTCTGGAATGTATGACATGGAAGATGAGGCTGGATGGACAGGAATGCAAGTGTCCGCAACCATGGAGAGGATGTCCCTGAGTTCTTCCTCAGGAATGGACGCCCGTTTCTGCTGCAGCCAAAGACTTTGTCTCCTGAAGATGTTTCATGGGATTGATCTGTGATGTCCTTCTGATGCTCTACACATCCCTGCACTTCGAGACATCGAATGCTACTGCTGAAAGTCTGTCAAGGTTCGCAAGCTGTTGGTGGTGGACCCTGCCAAACGAATGAGTGCCGATGAAGCTCTTGCGCATGGGTGGATCAAGGAGCCCCGGGCCAGGGCAGCTCGGGCAGGCGTGGTTTGCCCGAGCTTTCGGTTTTTGGACGCTGCGCAGGACAGGGAGAGAATCCCTTCCGAGAGCTGCCGGGTGGATCGCTCTGTCGTCGATGCCCTGAGGCCGGGACCCGGTGGGGGGTGTTGCTTTTGCGACTTGCGGAAATGTAGGTAGCAAGGGCTGGACATGTGCATCGTCCATGTGAAGCAACTCAGGGGAGCAGCCGCAAGAAAGGAACGCATGAGCCTGCAGAAGAAGTTTTCTACATCTGGCCTGCATCAATAATTGTACGACACATTGTATTGCACCTGACAGCTTGCTGCAAGCAGCTCGTGTACTTCTTTCAGCTGGGAATGGGGTTGGTGGAGTGTTATGTGGGTGATGTGGCCAAGTGAGAGTGGAACGAAACAGGACATGCTGTGCATGGGGAGTCTTAGCACGGGACCACTCCTGGTAGCTGCCGCATCTCTCTCGCTCTCTTTCTTCCCCCTTCCTCCGTTGGCACAAAGAGACGAGAAGCATCACAGGAAGTTCGAGCAGGCCTCAAAGTTCAGGCGTGCCTGTGCCTCGGCCTTTCCAAACCTGCTCAAGCGACCCAGTTAGAACCAAGTTCCACCAGAACTAGAGTAACTAGAAACTGTTCGCTTGTCTTTTCCGTTTCGTGGCAGTGTGGGTCTCGCAGACACACGCCCTCACGGTGAGGTATGTCTCTGATGGCTTGGTCGTTGACCCATGAGGAGCGCAAGTCAGCACCCTGCCTCAAACAGTGGGACCAAACTTCCGCACCCAAATTTGCGGTTAAATCGCGAGGTCGTCGATGCATTTCTGGAGCTGGACACATCTCGGAGAGGTACCATCCGACTTCACGAGATGCGAGACGTGCTGAGCCACTTTGTGGCTCGTCTTCACTCTTGCTTGAAGGAAGCGCAACAAACCAACTGGACTCACAGGCAGTTTGTTGTTGCTCCCGACTTGGGACACGCAATGCGGAGACCACCAGTCGGCGATTGAGGGGATCTACAGCTAGGTTGTTCATGGCGCATGCCCCGCCTAGTTGCAGAGTTGAGGGATACGAGCCGTCCTTGCGAGCCTGCGAAACTTTCTCAATGGTGGCACTTGTCCATCGGTTTCAGACACGCGGTGCCAGCAGCTTCTTCGGTTGCCTGAATGCAAAGTCGATTGTGGAACAACAGCCCGACACGAGCTCTGATAACGATTCGAGTCAGACTGGAAGTCCTTGCGGCCGGCTACATTGCTCCGCTTTAATTTTCTCTAGCGTTCGGCAAGGTGTCCTGCCAATGTAGCTCTGACTTGCACAATGGATATCGGTGCGAGCACTTTCATTGCAGAAGAAGTCTGTACGGCGTGCGCTGAAGCTGCAGTTTTTTGCTGCAAGGACATCACCGACCAGGCAACTTGGACTTGCAAGTTGCCTCATGTTTGGTCGCCGAGTTCCCGGGACACCAAAGCCTTGAAGAACTCGTTCCGTTGGTGCATTCCGCTGCCTGTGCATTGGCATTGGTGCACCTAGGAGGTCGCAGAAATCTTCCACGCACTGGACTCCAGCCACTGTGACGAGGCCCTGACTCTGCTTGCATGTGATTCATCGTCTCGCGCTGAATCTGAGCAGATCCTCAGCGCCGGAGGTGCACTACAGCGAGTTCCTCGCGGCTATGGTCTCTTCTCGCATTGCCATGCATCCTTGCAGCAGCGCGGGGTCAAAGGTGCTTTTTGCATCGGCAGCGAAGAGCAGCTCTCAGGCATGACCAGCTCCTTCGATCGGCCTTCGCTCGCTTTGATGTCGACGCACGGCTGCAAGGCATTGCAAGGCTTCAAGGATCCAGAGCACTGACGGGGGGGACCTGAATCTGAAGTTGCAGAGCTTCTTTTAAGCCAGGATGGTCGTGGCTTCATCTCCCGCGAGAGCCTTCAGAAGCTTTTGGGCGACTCCTTCGAAGGCGCTCCCGTGGAGGAGCTGCTTGCCGAGGCGAGGAAAGAGAGCGGAGATCTCGACTGATCCGAAAAACTGTCCTTTTTTGTCACTTGCTTCATTGCGGCTTCATGTTGTAACTGATGCAAGGTGTGTTTCATCAGTTTGTTTTTCTTGGATGAAGCGAAGAACATAAGTAATGCTTTCGTTTATTTCATTCACTAGTGCCGCTAGTAAAGTCTTTGGTTTGCAGGTGGACCCAGAGCAGCAGGGCAAAGTGTGCCTTGTCGGTTACAGCAGTTCGATCGGTTCTGAGCTGCCCGGCCGGAGGGCAGCATGAAGAGCTCGCCATGTAAGGTCATACGACCAGTTCGTGTCATACCTTCGCAGCGGCAGCGTGCAGGCAGATGGAGCACAGTGTTCATTGTTGCCATGCCTGACACCTGGTGATGCTATGTGCATGTGGTTGGTGCACTTCCAGGAATGTTGATCAAGTGGTGGGTCGTGTGCCAGGAAGATCACATGCACGTGGTGAACTCCGTTATCGATGGTGAACTCAAGCGCACTGGTGGCCCAATCCAGGCCTCTCATGTCCCCAATCCCTATCCCTCCTGAGCCCAGCTTTCTGAGGACGCCATGGGCAGTCCACCCAAGCCGATGAAGCGGAGACGTTGTAAGACACAAGCTGAGACGCCGCCTTGACAGGGCCACAAGGGCTTAGCTGAGCGTCGGCGCCAGGGGATTTAATGCTTTGCCAAGTCTGCGAACATGTACAGGCGGGCTGAGGCGGGCTCAGGCGGGCCTCGAGCACCTCAAAGACCGCAGTCCAGATTCGCGGTTCCTTATCTCAGGAACTCTCTCAGGTTCCGGAATATCGCTTGAAAAGGCGCTAGGCCTGGCGCGGGACTTTTAGATCCACAAGCCCGTGGGGAAGTTCTGTCGGGCCTAGTCGCATAGTATATCGATTTGAAGCGATAGGCAAAATGTCTGCAGACCGCCAGTTTATGCTGAGTGTCATGCTGAGGAAGGACGCTGACGTAATTCATCCAAGCGTAAGTCTCGAATCGATACTTTCAGTCACGGTTGCTTCTCGGTGGTCTGTACCAGAAAGACGGCGACGGATAGCTTGAAGGCAGATTGCTCCAGTATACAGTCCGCAAGCTGTTTCTTGGACGAGTCAAGGAATGCTGCATGCAGTTTTGGCATGGCAGGCACCGGAGCAGTCAGCATCGTTGCACAAGGTGTTGCTCGATTGCAAAATATCTCACCGATCCGAAAAAAGATCGCTTGAGATAATTCGCCTAGCCGAGGTTGGCAGAGGTCGCTTCACTGCGAGCCGCTCTTTGTCAGTCGGAGGCCGGCAGGAAGTTCTTCCAGGTTGGAAGCAGCAGGAACCGAAGGCAGACGTCTTTGAAAGCAGAGCGAGATCGAGTGTCGCGGGATGCCTTGACAGTCGTTCGTAGGGCATGTTAGCACAGTTCTCTCTCCTCTTCGGTCTGCCACTCG